TATCTGATCAATGGTTGACTTACAAGGTCTGAAGCCCCTCCATGGATTCAATATACTCTGGGCATCGGTGGCTAGATCACCTCAATGTTTCTTACAAGAGTCTGCTCCGGTATTGTAACCTTCCATAAGTCGTCGTATCTTCTCATAGAATTTTCTTCATACTCACACCTCTCAGCGTCTTTCTTTTTTTGTCTGCAGATGCGTCTTGCTCCCTTCTTCATCTCTCGGTATCTATCGCATCCCGCACGTGTTGTGGTCGATCGCAACGTTGCGAGGTAGGCAGTCTGTTTTCTCTCCACTGCGACACGGCAGTCGCCATCGTACCAGCTGTTAGTGACCATTTCGAAATCCAATAGTACGTAGGGAGTTTTCGATGCAGTCCCACAGGTCTCGTATACCGAGTTGCTGACGAGTGATCTCAGGGAGAAGGAGTGCAAGTCGAGTAGAAAATTGTGTGGCAGTCTGTTGTTATTGCAGTTTTTCAGCGTCGAGCTTTCCTTGTGTTTGCTGACGGGCGTGGTAATAGTCCGAGTCGATGTTGAGTGCCCGGAGTGTACGCACGTCAATAACACTAGAGATATGTCTTCCGTCTATCACTACATGATCGATTTGGTGTATGGTTCAGGAGACAACCGAATAGCTTGATGTATTTTTTTGTGCTGAAACCTAGTACAACGGGCCCTGGCGAAGTCGATTAGCCTCAACTCATTAGGCATTAAAATCGCCAAGCACGATTTTCACATCGTGGCGGGAGCAGCGCTCGTAAGTATACTCTAGGCGCTCATAAAAGGCATCTTTAGCTATATCATCCTTCCTTACCATCGGGTCGTGGGCGCATATCAATGATATGTTGAAAAGTTTCGCTTTGATGCGGAATGCGGCGAGACGCTCATCCACCGTTGTGAATGGTCGACGATGGATTGTCTTTCCCACCACAAATCCAACACCGAATTCGCTCTCCTTTACATGGCCGCTGTATTAGGTGTCACAAGTTTAACAATGAACGATTATGGAATTGTTCGAAATGCAGTTGAAAGCGATTAGTGAAAGAAGCTTCATTAACTGCAGCAGGTTAGCTGCTTCTGGTATAAAAAATAATTTCATTTCTTTCTGAATGGTATAGGCACCACTTACGCGGATATAGCTCAATCAAAAATATCACGCCACTCATCGCTGCTCGTCCCTAAGGCCATCTCTTAATCTATCCAACGGAGCTGAGGTCTCCCACTACTTCTATTTCCAAGATGGGTACTACTCTGAATATTTTAGAAGTTGGAGTGTTAATATAATCTAACCAGCTTAGCCGGTGGGGTTCTTTCGCTCAACTTTGTCAATGTCGCCTATATCTCGTACAGTTCGTTGCCGGATTGTCTGTGCTATTCACTATTTCCAATGCCCAATGGTCCATAAATCGTTAAAAATACCTTTTTTTTGATCATTCCTGGCACCGACTCATTGGATGCCACCATCGTCCACGCTTTTGCATCGTATAGCAGGACGTGAAAGATGAGTGACTTGTAGAGTATGGTCTGTATTCGTCGAAAGACCCACTCAGTCGAAAGAAGCGTTTGTTTGAAAGAGCTTTAGTCACGCGAGCAACTGCTACTCGGATTTGATCACACTAATAAAACGTTATTGTCCATAGTACTAGTGTTACGTGTCGCATTATGTAATACTATACGGCGCTGAAAGCGTGTTTCCTCGCGCCAAAAGTTTTTTTTTTGACAGTTTTTCGATTGATTGACTCAGTACGTTGTGAGCGCTCGTCAAAGATGGACACCACCATTTTTCTTCGATCAAGGCGAAAAAGCAGCCAAAGCGGCTGAAAAAACTAATTTAGCTTTTAACCCGATACTGTAAACGAACGTGTAGCACATAAGTGGTTTGCAAGGAATCATCTACTACGAGCTGCTCCCCTATGGCCACACGCTTAAGCTCCCGCTATGGTCTCGCTCGAAGTCCTTGCGGATAATATGGTATCCGGTCCGGCTCAGAAGATCCGATCGGGCTGTCAACTTCAATTCCTGGATTTCAGCAATTGGCAGGTGCTTGCGGTTCAAATAGTCGACTATCTCGTCGATCATTCCCTGCAATCTGTTGCAGCTAAAAAGAGGAAGTCGTGTCTGTCTCTGAGGAATGTTTGTAATGCGAGAAGTGAGGGAGTAATGAGTTGGTATTGTGTGTTATAGCTGTATTACCCGCTAGACTCGATGCCGCACTTTAGTGTTGGTTGCCGGCGATTTTGAAGAAATATGCAGGGTAGATTGCTACAGCAGCGGGGGCAGCTAGAGCAAGAGTTGCATCTGAATGATGTCATGTTCCAACGCACTATGGCCCGACACACGGAACAGACTGTAAGGGGGACTACGAGCTATTGGGTAGCCCTCGTACGGGATGAGCAAGATGAGATGGATGCGGTTGGGAGTGGCGGTTGATGAAAGTCCTGCGGCGAGGAGCTCCGTGGAACCATAGAGGTCTGTGGCTCATTGCCCAGAATGGTAATGATGCTGAAGACACTGCTACAGGCTAGAGGGGGACATTTGAGCGCTGGCAGCATGGTACCACATAACTTACGTTTCCTGTGTGTATTAAGGTCTTAGCGAACCTTAGGATGGCTCCAGCCGTTATACTGGTTACATCAAACCGAGGCATGGTGTAGACTTTTGGTGGTTGGTTTCGAAGCCAGTCCTGATGAGAATGATTTGGAGCAGCCCAGCTGCGAGGTATTTGCTCCATTGGTGACCTTAGACCTCTTGACCTAAACGGTATTAAATCGCCGAAAAGGTTACAGTCCATAAAATCAGGGTCAGCTACGGAGCGTAGAACCAGCTATCGTGAGAGTTGCACTGCATTTGCAATTGAGGATGGCATTCACCTCTAGAAATTGCACCAATACAGTCCATCTTAGAAGATTTATTGGCGATTTGAATTTATTTACATTTCCGTTATGATGCAGTAGGGATCCGAGTAGGGATGCATCCATTCTTTTGCGCCTTAGCTAGGGTTTTACTAATAAGAATGTCCGGTGTAGAGTTTTGTGTTGCTCCGACAATCCACATTTTTTTTACTTCCCAATCTTTCACCAAACAACAACTTCTGCCCACAGCTTTGAAAGTTTTTGCCGGTGGAAGCAAAAAGAAGAAACGTGAGCGGTAGAGTTTTGTGTTGCTCCGACAATCCACATTTTTTTTACTTCCCAATCTTTCACCAAACAACAACTTCTGCCCACAGCTTTGAAAGTTTTTGCTGCAATACCCGCCGGTGGAAGCAAAAAGAAGAAACGTGAGCGGTATTTACGCCATTTTTTTGTATCATTCGGTTATGCATATCGATTTTTCACCTTGGCCAAGCAAGAATCAATACATGCTATGAACTTAGTAACAAGTTATCTATTGCGAATTTACAAGATACTTCTCCTTAAACAGTTACCGTCCACAATCTCACTCTGGGAGTGAAAAATAATTCATCTTCCTCAGTCTTGCGTTTTCGCCACCTTTCCAGTCTCTTGGAGCCCGTCTTGCATTTGCGTACGATTTTACACAAGTGAAACACTTCCCGGCTATGGTCTTTTTTCCGTTTTCCCAACTGCAGCTTTTCTCTCAAAGAATCTTAACGTTTTTAGCATCTTCTTCTTCACATCTAAACTTTCCTCCTCCACTGATATACTTAGGAGTGTCGCCATTTCATGTGTGTAAGCATGGGCACAATTTCAACAACTGTTGACTTTGAGTTCGCATATGTTGCCGCTGATGAATCTCTGCAAGTTTACCATTTGGAGCAGCTCACCCAATGCATCCATAACAGCCAAATGAGTCAATCTCTCAATTCCTCATGCAAAGCTCGGTAGAGCCCACTACCACAGCGTCTTTCTGCGTTCTCCTGCTCTGGAATAGTCTGCAAAGTTTTTATTTTTCAGCAATGCTCGAGTTATTTGCTGTGGCCTTTTGGAACTGGAAAGGGATTTTTCTTTCAAAGGAGCATTCATGGAAGTTGTGGACGATTCAACTGAATGTCTTGAAATCAACCTCCTATTCGTTGCCCTTGGCCTCAATTAGCTTCCCTATTTTATCTTTCTGTTCTTCGATTTCAATCTGTCTCTCTCTGAATTCTGCCCTCTCTTTGAGCTACGCGCTTTCTGGTATAGCAATTGTAATGAAATCTGTGATGATATAGTAGATGCCTCTTTTTTACTTTTAAGTTATTCATAATAATAAATAAATTACATTGTAATTCGTTATATGTTAATATGTGTATAGAACTAGGATTTTCCAGCGCTCTAATGAAAATAAGTGTTTCGCATCATGCCATCTATGTCTGCTAGAGACAGTTATCTGCATTCCGGTATTATTAACTGTGGTTGTCATTACACTTTTAAATGCGGCTAAAAGCTAAAATTAAGACAAAAAACACGGTACACAGATGCTGATACCAACTAAGGCTTCACTGTAATCTGAATGTTTTTATTTTAGAAAAAAAAACTGCATGTAAAAATTTAAAAAAATACAAAAATAATCTTTGAAAGTTCTAACTAATAAATAATTTACATAATATAATAATTACTGCATAATTTTCTAAAAATTTAATTTACCCTTACCCCAAATGGGACTCGAACCCACAATCTTCGGCTTAGGAGGCCGACGCCTTATCCATTAGGCCACTGGGGCTATCAAATAATTTCTACACCAAGCCTTATATCACTACAAATCGTTGTAAAGTTCTGTTATATTGCCTTTAACCTTTAACTAATGAAAAAGAACATAAGCTTACGTTTGCTGGTTACTGGTATAGCCGAATAACCAACAGATGTCGCACACTGCTACGTTCCTGTGTGCATGTCATAGCTAAACGAAAATACCAGTTGCTCTCGACAGGGTTAACAGGCTCATCAATTTTAATAATAAAAATGTTTAAAATGAAGAACGTATGTGTAATAAATTATGTCAAGAGCTAATATCTTGAATTCAAAGTAAATTGTTAAGTAAATAATTTCAAGTGTTTGTGGAAATATGTACATATGTGCATTTCGCTTGTGCATAAAGACCGTGTGAGTCTTGTCGCTTCTCTTTCATATACGTTCTTTGGTGCAGGGGAACTGAATTCGCCCGACGAATACAGAATATGTATTTGAGATAAATTCGTCGTGGGCTGCTTCATTTGTTTACTTAATCAGCTGAGCAATGTTGTGTATTTCGTGTGGTGTGCTAACAAAAAAATATAAATGTCCGAAATGTTTAGAAGCATAGTGAGTTGTAATTTTAATTATTTATGCTTATATATGTGATCGATAATATTTTCTTCATGTTTTCATATAAGTTGCTCGCTTTCCTGCTACAAGGAGCACCAAAAAACAACATGCGAGCAGAAGCCCGTTGAAAACAAAACTCCAGAAGCGAGTCAGAACCAAGAGCCAACTTTGCACGAACCATTCAGAACAGAAGATACAGTACCGCGAAATAAACTAGAACTTTTAAGTATGTATTTAATAATACTATCATAATTTCAATCTTAATAACTTTACCTATAGAGGACTGCAAAGGATTACATGACTTGCTCTACAATCCACATCTACGAAATTTACTTAACGAAATAGATGTAGCCCCTAATGCGTGGAAAGCTATTAACGCAGCAATGCAGGAACCGTTGTTCTTAGAATTTGCTGATGAATGCCTTAAAGTTATCGAGCCACAGAATGCGGAAGAAACTTAATACTTAATTATTTACAGATGTATTCGTTTGTTTACTTTACTATATATAATTAAATCTGCACTTTATTATAAGTCATCGTAATCTCTTACGAAAGGTGGTTTTTCTTGCCAATGTATAATATAATTGAATACGTCCTTTGGTACTTCGCATTGGTCTAATTCAAGGGCTAAACTGAAGTAACGTTGACGAAGTAAGTACGCAGCAGATTTGGGTTGACGCTGGCGAGTGAATACTCCTTTTTTATTACCACCAACACGCGTAAAACCTTTATTTATTAAAATTTTATTCTTTCAAAAATCATATGTCTGTAAACCAAATTTGATAACTCACTTTGAGCTGTTTTGAAATCTGCGAAATTCCATAAAAATTCTCCAATGAACCATTTCTGCGACCTAAGGCTATCAAAAGCTTTGAAGTGTTTGCTAAGTAGATATCGCTGATAGTCTTCCGACCAAATATATGCTGGAAGCTATGATGAACCGAAAAATCTCATAGTTGAGGTAGGTATATATGTACATGTATATACTATGACTACTTACGAAATGTAATCCTTCATAAGTATCCGCACCATATTCCGTCATTATAACTGTTTTGTTGTGCGTTTCATGCCATAAGGCTGCCTCTTCCTCTACGTGTTTGGTTATCATGTCAAGTTGGCCGGCATTTTGGTACCAGGCATTATATCTATTGAAGCTTATGATATCCAGATATTGTGCCTATTTTTGTTTAAGTTGAATCTCAAATTTAATAACTTCATTTTATTAATTTCTATATTACCAATTTATCCTTTTTTGCCTCGACATTTAATGCTGCCGTTATTGGTCTTGTGGGATCCAAGAATTTAGTATAATTCGCCAGAAATCTTAAACAATATTTTTAAAACTATAAAATATTAATTAATCAAATTTATACCAGCTTACTTGAAATATTTATCTGCCTGAGGATGGGATGAACGAGGCTCGTTAGCTATGGACCACATTATAACACTTGCGTGGTTGCGATCCCGGTGTATTAACTGCTCTAATGAAGATTTATGATTTCGAAGGAGCAAAGGTTCAAATATGCTGTGAAGTTATTATTTAAATAATGTCATGCTTTCAATCAATTACTTCAAATATTTACTCTGCATTTACGCCCGGACATTCATCTATGATCATGATACCAAACTCGTCGGCGAACTGCATAGATTCTTCCGAATAGGGATAATGGGAAGTACGATAAGCATTCGCACCAATCCATTTCAAAAGATTGAAATCACGTGTTAGCAAAGCGTAGTCAAACCCTTTTCCCCGTATCTATAATTGTAAATTATAACAACTATTTTTTGATAATTTTCAATCCTACATCTGAATCTTCATGTTTTCCAAAGCCACGCAAATAGAGTGGAGCATCATTGATGAGAAGGGTAGAATTATTCCACTTTAGTGTACGAATGCCTACTTTCATGCGATACACATCAAGTAGAGATTCATCAACTGCATGCAAATACACTTCCATGGTGTACAAATAACCAGGTTCCGGATTCATCAAATACGGCCACCAGGGCATAACGTCCTTCACCACAATAGTACCATTTAATATAGTTTTGGAAATACTATGCGCCACAATTTCTCCTTCTTTGTTGCGTAATTGCACATGAACATATAAAGGTTCAATTGGTGGATCGTAATACACAGTCGTTTTTTCATTACCATTCACATTTACTTCATAATTAACAAGACCTGAACAGGATAATAAATTTTTTAATGACCTAATTTTAGCTAAACAGTTTTAAGCTCACCAACATGATTTTCCGTAAGATCAGTTAACACTTTAATATCTTCAATATAAACAACAGGTGTTGTATAAAGATGAACAGTGCGGTGTATACCAGCATAGTTAAAGAAATCGAATGTGTATCGTTGGACCATAACCTTTCCTTCATCACTAAATAATTTAGATTAATAAGCATATCTATGAATTTTTGCTCTAAATGATATATACCTTTCTTCTTCAGCCACCGTTCCTTGAGGAATCGTCGAGTTTACCAGTGTATTGTCACACATAAGTGTGAGCCGGTTTTCTGCGCCAAACTTTACCTGGTCTGTTATTTCAGATTCGAATGGCAAGTGACCAATGGTATGCGACATTACCTTTTGCCCATTAATCCACTAAATATTTTAAAATTGCATGTACATTATTAATAATCATGTTAATAATAATGACATTAATTATATGAGGGATACTCCGTTATAATTTGACGATAACAAAATAATTACAGCTTAGATACTTACTACAACTGCAGCATAATGAACGCTCCCAAATCGTAACCAAATCCGTTGGTCCATGTTCCAAGAGTGTGGTACAAAAAATTTCTTTTCATACCACACAGTTCCGATATGATCACGCAATTTATCCTCTGCACTAATATCATTATAGCTCGAGGGCACTGGCATTGGCCGTGTTGGTTTTACCTTGAATAATATATTTAGTGAAAAATCAATTTCCCCAAACGAAAAAAATTACCTTATCCAAATCGGCTTTGTACCAATTGTCTCGTACTCCTTGCATAGGATCATTAACATCAGATTGTAAGAATCTCCAAACGCCATCAAGTGTTCTTACTTCGCGTGACTCGGATTCTCTAGGGTACAATAAGCCACGAGTTGGGGGAGCATCTTGCAACCACATATAATCGAACTGTTTACTTTTATTTGTTTGGTTTATTTTGCTTTCAAGCAGGTCAGTATGCTCTTGGAGCCCTGAAGTCCGACTAATACTACCACTCAACACAGCAGAGCAGTATATGACACTCATCAATCGTGCAATCATTTTGATTTATTATTTATCTGCTACTCATGCAATTTTGAAAAATAATTTCGGTGATATCAAATGTTTTTACGAAAAACTTCTTTGTTCTGCTCGCAGAACAATTATTTTTAAAATAAACAAATATCAGCTGAGTGAATAATACCCACACGGTTGCCAGTCAGTAAGAACTCGCAAGTAACAAAATTGATTGAGTAAGGCGATGCCAGTCAATATGACAAATTTCGAAATAGTTTACGCTCTTGGCGTAATGAATTTTATAGAAATTGTATAACAACTTCCAGATATTAGCTTATTTCACAATAATTTATCCTAAATATTATTTAGTAATGTTAAAATGATTTGATATCATACAAAATTAACAAGAAATACTGCGTAACGAGTAAATTAAAATTGCATTTTAGAAATAAAGTTACATATAAATTATAGCAGTCTTCTTCTTCTGCACTAACGTAGGCTTTCGCGATTAACAATAGAGTGCCATGCCTTCCTTTTTTTCCCCACTTTGGTCTCAGCTGGAAATACCGGCGGCCAGGCCTTAAGAGACTTATGTAGTCCCATGCTGTCAGCGCTCAAATGCCGCAGCGCCTTTAGCACCTTTACCGATTCTGGTTAACCTACTACATCCATCAACGGTCTCACGGAGCTCCCCGCAGCATGACTCCCACCAATCCCTACCCCCACCCACAACCAGCTCCTCTTCCTCCTCCCGTGCGAACGTTACCCAGCAGTTCCTAGTCTCTCACACAGTCTGTTCCGGGTGTCGGAGTGGAATGGAGCCGGCAGAACAGATAGGCGATTCGACATTCTAGGAACGAAAAAACCCTACCAAAGTTGTGGGTAATTGCAAAAGCTCGCCAATTGGGAGTGATGCTCTGATAAACAGTATAGCCTAGCGACCAATACTGACATCAGCATACTTAACTATACAAATCTAGGTTTACAAACCTCCCGCGGACCACCGGACATTTGTTAACATTAAAAAAGCTAACTGGCTCGAGTTCACGATATTCAACGAGAACACCATCAGTCAACGTCATCTCCCCACTCCATCAGACGTCACTTCCGGCCAATATTTATTCTGCAGAATAGTCGTGACCGCTGCCGCCCGCTTCATCCCGGAAGGTCGAATTGCGGAAATTCGCCCCGAATTCCCGACGCATAGAGATGGTGACACTTCATCCTCCGGCTAACAAAATAAAACGACGTGTAACCCGCCACCCGCGCAAACTGCCAAATACCAGCGCGCGCTTAATTTCTCCGAGGTCATCGGAAAGGCAAAAGCCTCCAAATCCATCGGTCACGACGGAATTAGCATGCTGATGCTAAAACATCAATCCGTGTTTGACCACCATAAAGTTACTCGATGTGCGGAAATGGGTAGGTTGGTCCCTGCACTAAAGCTGGGGAAATCAGCTAACAAAGGAGAGTCCTTTCCTATTCCTTCTCTTTACAATAGCGAAGACACAATCGAGGCCTTACTGCTAATGACTTTTATACACTATCTGAGTCCAGCAGCACACCGGAATAGCTTCCGCAAAGTGTATAGTACCACAACAACACTTAATGTCATAAACACCCAAATAGTCAATGGTCTTAACCAAAATCGGTTCTGTTTACGAACTGTCCTGGCAGCACGGGATTTGTCGAAAGCTTTTAGCACCGTCAACCATTCACTGCTGCTATCGGACATTGCGGAATCGTCCTAAACGCCTGGGTTGAAAAGGTCATGGTCATGGTCGTGGTCAATCATCGGTAGAATTTCGAGGCGAAGCATCAAAACTAAAGAAGAATTTACCTCATAGGCCGATGATTGTACGATATACGCGTCTGGCTAGGATATTGATAATTTTTGTTCGAAACTGAACGGCTGTCTCGATGATCTGTCCATTTCTTCACTGCACGACAGCTCAAAACTCAACCGAACAAATCCTCGGCTACTCTTTTCGCAAGCTGGACGAAGGAATAGATGCTCGAACTAAATGTGAAATGATGAACTACATACTTTACTTCACACCGCTTACGCTATTATAGCCGACTTAACAACCTTGCGCAATTCGTTTCTCCTTTTTGCTGTTTGGCGTTGGTATTGAAATACCAAGACATCCAGGTCCTTCTCTACCTGGTCTTTCCAACGGAAAGCAGGTCTTTCTCTCCCTCCGTATCTATCGGCGGGTACTGCATCGAAGACTTTCAAAGCTGGAGTATTCACATCCATTTACCCCACGTGACCTAGACAGCGTAGCCGCTGCTTTTGATTCGCTGACTTGGTGTTTATTTCAAGGTTGACATTGTTGTTGTGTAATGGTTCCTAGATAGACGAAACTATTTACGTCTTCAATGCTGATGATAGGGTCGTGGAAGCAGAGGTACGAATGAACAGTTTGTTTGACGGCAGAAAATATTTCTCCTTGTCCTTGTTCACTACCAGAGCCATTCGTTTCTCATCTTTGTCTCTTCTAGAGAAATAGGAATTAACACTCTTGTGAAAGTTTGTACCAGGCTATTAATCTTTGCAGCTCGTACTATTTTTTAGAGCATAAAGTTTTATAAATGATTTCTGGTTTTGGTGTCGAACGGCTCAGAGAGAGAGAGAGAGAAAGGTTCCCTGCAGCAGTTTACAAAGCCGTGTATGGGATTCGCACTGCGTACTAACATGCCGGCACTGGACCAGTGTCGAAAAGAAATTAGTTTTTATAATTGTTTTTCGATAATGAATGTCAAGAGAATTGTTATACATAGAAAACAAATACATGACAGCTGGTCCCCGAGTAACAACCTAAAGAAGTGATCAAAATAGCTCAAAGATGTCTCGGTTTCTGCCTATTAAGAAAGATATGTTTAAAAAAATCGATCTGCTTTACCACTGGGTTCCCAGCTTCACAGAAAGCAAGTCCTTCCAATGTACACCAACAAATAATGCACATACGAGGAGTGGACATGCCGCTTTTCGTGCCCTATAATCAATGTGTGGAAATATGTAACCCATTTCGAAAGGATCTATTGTAATCGTTATATGTATATTATATGCGACCGAGACTTGCACTTTGGGATCTGAGACATTTCGGTATACTATTGAGCAAAATTTTTAAAGACCTGCGAAGTACTTGCACAAAGTTATGAGGAGACCTAGTAGGAAAGCGCGAGTCAATGCATTTTCCTCACTTTTGCTCCACCTAACACTCTTGATCACCTCTATAGGTGTTAATATGCAGCTTTCAGACATTTTAACTTCATTCGATGTTTTAATAAGCATTTTTTATTCAATATCTTATAACATAATTTTAATAGCTTAAATATAGATTTACGACCCAATTAAATCAACAAATTTGTTACAATTTAAGGCATTTGTGAATAATTTAAACATACACATGTATGTACGTACATATCGATTCCATACATACTTTAGTAATAGTTTTTGACAAGTATTTTGTACAAGTATAATTAACTTATTTTTATATAAACTCTGTACAAGTGACTATGATGCGATATTCATACATGCAGAAATTACCTGATGTACGAGTACATATACAATAATATACGTGTATATAAAATTTAGAACAGTGGTCTAATTGTTCATGTGTCTCCATTTTGTTTGTATGTATGTGTTTTATACTAAGATATACATATTTATTTAACCATTAACTTTAAATATATTTATCAGAGCTTAATAAATGCATATAAAAATATTTTTAATACAAAATTATCTATTGTAATATACGAAACTTCAGCCAGTCAAAAGACAAAAAGTAAAATGCTTAATTGAACTTGGAATTGGAGTGGAGCTGCTATTTCTACATTCAGTAGGCTTTACTCTCGTTGGCGTTGAACCAGTTCTATAAGTCAGCTGTTTCGCGTTTACCACGCGACTCTGTTGATGTCGCATCGGTGATATAAAGGAATAGGTCCTCCGGAAGATTACAACGGTCCAATTCACGACCAAGAGCAAAATAACGCTTACGCAGCAGATGTGCTGTAGCTTTCGGTTGGCGATTGCGTGTGAAAACACCTTTTTTATTACCACCAACCCGAGTTATAGCTGAAATAAGAGAAATTAGTTAAGTAACATTAAACGAAACTATGTTTTATGTTAGGTTATGTATCTTACATTGTGCTGTCTTGAAGTCTGCGAAATTCCAAACAAATTCTCCAATAAACCATTCCTTTTTTCTAAGAATATCGAAAGCTTTGAAGTGCTTCGAAAACAATTCATTTTGATATTCCTCCGACCAAATATATGCTGGTAGTAAATGTAAACCCTCGATTGTGTCAGCACCATACTCACCAATCATGACGGGTTTATTGTGTTTTTTATTCCAAGTAATCGCCTCTTCGACAACATGCGTGGTAATCATGTCTAATTTGCCTGGATTGCTATACCATCCATTGTATCGATTAAAACATATTATATCCAAATGTTTAGCCTACAGAAGAAGCGGGTAGCTGAAAAAATTTGATGTTTTTGGAGTGAAATACAAAAATACTCACAGCTTTATCACTTGCGGAGGGAACGGCTATGGCAGCGGTTACAGGCCTTGTACCATCGAGCGCGCGGGTGAAGTTGGCCACGAACCTGTGGAATAGCGTAAGTACAATAACAATAACACGCATTTAGTGTTTAGTGTTTTTTGACTTGAAAAGCAATCATTTAACTCTTACTGGAAGTGTGAATCAGCTTGAAAAGGACTCGTGCGAGGCTCATTAGCTATCGACCACATAATCACACTTGGGTGGTTTCGATCGCGATGAATTAACTGCTCCATGGAAGATTTATGTTTGTCCAAGAGCGCCTGGTTATAATTGCTGAAATATACTTAAGACCATTAGGATTTCAAAGTACCATTAGCAACTTCGGGATGTATTATTTAAAAGCGTTGTAAATACTTTATGTGTTTTAAATGTTTTCTGAATCGAGTATTCTAGCCGGCATTTTGATGTGAACAAAAAGGAATTACATTTTGAATATTTTTTGAATTTAAAAATTTTTTTTTTATTATTTTAACTGCGCAAAAATAGTACAGATGTCGGAAATACTTACTCAGTGTCTACGCTGGGGCACTCGTCAATAATCATAATGCCATTCTCATCGGCAAATTGCATGGACTCCTCTGAGTAAGGATAATGTGAAGTGCGATAAGCATTTGCTCCAATCCACTTCAGCAAGTTCATATCACGCGTGAGTAATGCAAAATCTAATCCTTTACCACGTATCTGCAATATAATATAATTTTTGTTTTATACACTTAGCGAAAGAGAGAATTTCAAAATATTAGTGTAAAAATTTTTTTAATGCTACAAAAAATTAAACGTCGGCCACGTTAGCCGGTCGCCCCTCGGCAGGGAATGTCAACTCCTCCGAGTGTGTTTCTGACAATTCTCCTCCGTTCGGAGACGGCTGAGTATAAACTGGAGGGTCCTCCATTTTTTGGAGGTTCCTTCCTACGGAGTAGAGGCTTTCCCTTTCTCTGCTTCCACAGGCGGGTATTGCGGCGAACCATATGACTTAGCCAGCGCAGCCGCTGTTTCTTGATTCGCTGAACTATGTCAATGTGGTCGTATATCTCGTACAGCTCATCTGTAAATCTTACGCAAAGCTTTTCTCTCATAAGCTCCTAACGCCGGCTCATCAAATGTTGTCATCGTCCTTGTCTCCGCACCATACACCAGGACATGAACGATAACCGACTTGAAAAGTTTGGTTTTCGTTCGTAGAAAGAGGACTTTACTTCTTAATTACCTATTTAGTCAAAAGTAGCACCGAGCCTGGATTTCAAGGCACACACAAGATATACGAAGTTATCTACGACTTTAAAGTTATAACTGTCAACAGTGACGTGAGAGCCAAGTCGGGAATGCGACGACTGTTTGCGTGATGGAGGAGCCATGTCCTTCGTTTATTGATTCAATCTGAAGCAAGCAGAACTCACAGCGTGGTTGTTGAAGGCGATAATGCCAATATTATCGGCAAACGTCAGCAACTCTACACTCTTACAGAAGATTGTACATTCTCTATACAGCTCTGCGCTCGTATTATTCTCTCCAGCATCAAATTGAAGAAATCATGACAAAGAGTCACCCTTTCTGAAACCTCGTTTGGTAGCGAACGGCTCGGAGAGGTCCTTCCCGATCCTGACGGATATATAATGCATAAAATTCTCCTGTCACAGTATACGACGACATACTCCTCCGAAACGGCTTGACCCATTTCGATTAAATTTTGCATGTATATTCGTTAGGTCTCCGTGAGGTTTGTTATCTATTTTTAAAATTAGGAAGAGGACCTGGGACTGATCTATTCGCAAAAATCTTATTTATGGTTCGTTTTCTTTGTAACTCGGTGCATGGTTAGCTTTTTGCTTAGATTAACAGGAAGACTATACTTCTCTACGGGAAGAGATCCAGGGTATTATCTATTAAAAAAAAGACGGCTTTAAAATCGACGAAGAGATGGTATGTGTCGATTCTCTTTTCACGGGCCTTTTTCAAGATTTTATATTATTTCCATCCGTTGTTATGATGTTCAGTAACTTATAAGTAAACGGATTGATATTGTTTTGAATTCTCATTACGGAAATTATGGAATACTTTGCAATTTTATTAGTTGAGTATTTATGTTATGTATTCTAAATAACACAGAGCTCACACAGCAATAGCCTTGTTCCATGACCTGATTGGTAGTAACAAAGGTTACCAATTACTGTACCGTGTTTGGTGGGGCAAAAATACATTCAAACTCATTTTCTTATTTCAATCATTCTTCCTGAAAAACTTAGCGCAAAATTTCGTCCTTACAGAGTACTATCGGAGAAACATATTAACCGGTATCATATGGTTAGAAGGATAAGATGCAATTAGATCATCCAGTGCAATAATCTTTTAATGCAATAAATATATTGAAAATTCCACGAAATTGTTAATTTCATTAAAATACTTATGAAAATATAATATTTAAAAGCAGAAAGCAAAAACTGTATGGCGAGCAGTTTCAAATGTAACGTCCGAAATAAACATGAGTCATGTTCGGTGAGAGCGCGTAGAATTCCTCTCTTTGGGAGAGTATAACATTTTACTCTCTCATTTTCGTTACCGGCTAACTTATTGAAATTTCTCATCCAACTGAACTTATAAGCCTTGTATTCAAAATATTGAATATTAATTTGCATATACATATGTATATTTATTTTTTCGTGTGTTGAATAAAATCCAAATAGATTTAAAACTAAATTAATAAATAAAGTAATTATGTATCTTTCATTACTCGTACATAAGATAAAAAAAATTCGATACTTACATCTGAATCTTCATGTTTGCCAAAGCCTCGGAGGTATACCGGCTGTCCATTAATAAGGAAGGAAGTGTTGTTCCAAGTGAGTGTGCGTATGCCAACTTTAAGTCGGTAGACATCAAGCAGAGTGTTATCGGCAGTGTGTAAAAACAGTTCTATTTGATAGAGGTAACCAGGTTCTGCATGCATCAAATACGGCCACCATGGTTTAACATTCTTTACTTCCAGTGCACCCTTCAAGTCACCATCAGAAGTTCCATTAGCAACAGTTACACTTTCTTTGTTACGCAACTTGACACGTATTTGCAGATTGCTGTCCGCTTCGTTGGAAGCCGTTCCGCCCACTTTTACTTTGTAGTAAACATGCCCCACTACAAATATATATAGAGACAAGGTTTTCGCGAAAAGTAGGTCAGATTCTAGTACAGTATATCAATTGAAAATATACAATATATACATATATACAGATATATTGGAACTTTTATTGAACCTGAATTTGAATCTTCCAAATCGGAGGTGACTTCGACTTCTTCGATAAATGTCTTAGGCGTGGTGTACAAATGGACGGAACGATGTATGCCTGCGTAATTGAAGAAGTCAAACGTATAAGTTTGAACTATAGCCACTCCTCCATCCCTGGAAACGTGCTTGATATTAATATTGATAAGACATAAAAGCGACATATGTATTTTCAAACTTACTTCTTGACTTCGCTAATTTTTCCCTGTGGTACTGTTGTTTGTATAAGAGCATTGTCACACATAACAGTTATGCGATTTTCTTCGCCATATTTAACGAAATTTGTGACCTCAGCTTCGAATGGCAAATGACCCATTTCGTGTTTTACCACCATTTCGCCATTTATCCACTAAAGATGGCTTGTTATTGCTTTTTTATTGAAATTTAAATTCAACATTTACGACTCACCACAAAGGCCTCGTAGTGTACACTACCAAAGCGAAGCCATACCCTCTGATCCTTTGCCCATGATTTTGGCACGAAAAATTTGCGATCATACCACACAGTCCCAACGTGATCTCGAATTGTGTTATCCGTAGTTATGTCGTTGTAGCTGGCAGGCACTGGCATTGGTATCACATCTTTAACTTTACTTAGGTCATCACTAAACCATTTGTCCCTCACTCCTTGTGTGGGATTCGCCTCGTCCGATGTGACAAAGTTCCATAGACCATCTAAGGAGCGCACTTCACGTGTTTCAGATTCCCGTGGATAAAGCATACCGCGTGTGGGAGTTACTTCTTTATTCACAATTACCAGCGCTATTGCGAAGTGAATAAGATAACCAACGACACCCATGGCCAGTAAAGAAAATGCTGGAAAAATGAAGTGAATATTAAAATCAGAGCCAATATAAATAAAAATATGGCATAAATGTGCTAGTTAAAATTACGGTGGTAAACGAATGAAAACCGCTACTTTCTTTTCTAAAATATGATCAAGTTTTTTGTTCAAATTGGGACCAGTTTAATTATTGATTAAACTATATAAAATTATTTGATTTTTTATATATTTTAATTTTAATGAAGGATTTATCTGTCAGATAGTTTATATCTGGAAAATTATAGCGAATTGAAAATTGTCAGAGAATATGCTTTCGTTGCCTGGCTAATAAACGATTTAAAAAATGTTCAGCTGATGAGTAAAGTTTGTTGTTGTTGAGAATTCTTAATAGAGTAAATTACAAACTCGTTGAAAAATGGATCGAATCACAATATTCTGTTTCGATATTCGTAAGACATCAGTCGCTTTGCTGCCTACATTCCCATCTACTCATGGTGGTCATCCTAGATTTATTCGAAATTTCAATACTCTTCTTCTTTATTTGTTTAGTACTACAAAACTAATTTTTATTTTAATTGAACGCATCTATCTACCAAAGTGATAAAATATATATGTACTTATACTTTTTTTAAGTTTGCCAACCAATTTCAGAAAAGGGCCTTCTTGCAAAACATTAAAAGCCAAGGAACAGCAAATAATAAAAAATAAGAAATTCGTAATTTGTAAATAAATTTGTAATAATATACATATACGAGGTGTGATCAGCAAATAACCGTTGTTTTCAATTTTTCCAAAAAGTATTCATTTAATCAGCAATAACTGTCTTGTCCCTTTAAAGTAATCCCCCTCCGATGGTATACACTTAAGCCAACACGTTTTTTGGTATCGCCATTAGCTTCTGCGATGTGTGAGCTGGTGCGTTATCATGGTGCAAAATGCGGAATTGTTTTTTCCCAATTCTTCGCTTTTCTGACGAATTGCTTCAAACGATATATGCCAATATCATCAGCACCCTCTCTGATAGTGATTCGACGATTATCCAAAATTATTTTCTTCACTGTTTCAATTTTGTCATCGGCTGTTGACGTACTTGGGCGACCAGCCATAACAGACATGCGTACCAACATAAGCTTTAGGTAGTCCCTTCGTCTCTACTTTCTACCAGTCCTGTTCATTTTCAATAAAAATTAATATATGTACATATCTTGATTTAATCTCGTAGATATGCTTTTTTTTTTTGGAGAACATAATAACAAAGTAAAAGTTCACCTTTGATATCACTACAAGTTTGATGTGTTCAAAAATTGCGGCAATTAGGAAATTAACAATGCACATAATTCAACTCATTTTTCAGAACACAGGCACAGTCAGTCACAGAAACTTTTATTTCTTTCAATGCATTTCGCTGTGATAAATAAAATCAATATCATCGTGAGACCACACTGAATCTACTTTCTGCAATTTACTTTCCTAGAATTGCAGAAGTAAAAATTGTGGTTTGTGATTGCACTTATTTTATGAAATTAGATTTCCCCGAAAAGGTCGTCCGAAATCTTCCACTGAGGACGTCACTGTAACTGTGGAAAGTTTAAAATTGACGAAGACTAACGATTTACCCAAGAAGTGATTGCTAATGAAATCGGATTGAATGCCATGGCTGAATCGTGAATTTTAAGTAATAATCTCGAATACACGAAGAAATCTGCTCGATGAGTATCACGAATTTTAAATGAGGTACAAAAAGAAGCTCGATGCATTTTGATCAATTTTCCTGAACAAATTCGAAAGTGGTCAGTCTAGTAACTTTAATAAAGTCGTTACTGGGGACGAATCTTGGTTCTATAAGTACGATACAGAAACCAAACAGCAGTCCATGGTATGGAGTCCAACAGGAGCAGGCCTACCCGTAAAATATAAGCAACAAAAATCAGCAGCAAGAGTATTAATATCAGTTTGCTTCACCCAATCTGAAATCGTAGCTGCTATTTCACTGGAAAAGGGTCAGATGGTAACTGAAAAATTATTCACCGAAGAGTGTTTACCAAAAGCTTTCAAAATTTTTTTTTGGAAAACAAGAAGAGAGAGGACTTACAGCGCTACCTTTTACATCTTGACAACGCGCCACTCCACACTGCTGAAATAACGAGTAATTTTATGGCGACCACTGGATCGAAGAAATACGTCCAGCGCCATATTCCCGGGATATAGCAACTTGTAACTTCTGGTTATCTCTAAAAATTAAAAAAACATTTAAAAGGAGAGGTCTTTAATAGCAACGAGGAGATAATTGATGTGGTTAATTCTGAACTTAAAAAGCTTAAAAAAAGCAAGATTTTGGAGAATGTTTTCAGAAGTGGATCTATAGGCTTAAGAAGTGCATTGAAATCAGGGATTACGAATAAATGCAAAAGGAATTTTTTTCTGGTCTTACCGAACTTTTGTTAATCCCCTGGTATACATATATAACATACTCGTATCTACATGTTCATGGTTATTCGGGGATTATAGGCCTGAATTCTCACCTACCCGAGTGTATGTCTGGCACAAATAAATCGATCGGCGGCAAACCGAGGCGGTTTGGAAAAAACTATAGGTCCCTCCATTTGTCGCAAAACCATTAAGACGCACACCACAAATTGTGTTAAAATCGCTTCGGCGGTTACACATATACACACGCACATAAGCAAAATGTACTTCCACCAAATATTTATTGATCGGCGTTAATAAATTCTATTTACATATACAATTGTCCTCTATAAGGGTGTTATCTTATCAGTAACTACGATTATACTAAAATAATGGCAAATGTTTGCCTATAAGTGTGTGCGCCATCATTAGCTTTCCTTTGTGTGGCTTGATATTTGTCCGATAATTAGAGTGACCAACAATCAGTTGCTGCTTGTTTCAATTTAGAAAAACCTGTACAAAGTAATAGTTCAGCCCATTAAATCAGAGACATGATTTATTACATATTTTGTCTTAATAGCCTGGAATGACCCTAATGTATTTTGATAGCTGTATTCCTGAGAAATGTCAGTAAAAACCAGCAAGCAACGAAATTGAGAGAGCAAGATGTTTTACTCTCCGAAACAAAGAGATCCAGTAAAAATTAGCCAGCAAGTTGTAAAGTAGTTGTTTATTTTGCCGGGAAATTTTGAATTCGCTCATTCAGACAGTTTATTATTTCTGGTTTTAAGTATTTTCCCAGGTGTTTCAATAAAATTGCCAATTATGTGACATTTTTAAGTTATTAATTGAATTCAAAATTTATTGTATTTCAACAGCGATGAAATTATATATGCTTTATAGCTGCCCAACGATAAATATATCATTATGTTTTTTATAATAGTACTCCAAGAAAGGACGAGGATTGATCTAGATTTTTGCAACAATTTGTGGCTTAGACTTTCATTAAGGATGACTGATTTAAGAAAATAATTTTGAAATTCTTTTTCCGCGTGAGCCGGCCATATTAACTTAAAATTATTATAGAGTTTATTCGATTATGTTTAAATAAAAACCCAGCAAGAGCTCATTTTTCCGGGTAAATGCTAATAACATTTCATTTTGTGAATCGTCGCCGCTTCCGGAAGATTAAGAATGCATTATCCTCATTGTGGCCGTAGCAGATACTTTGCTGTCTTTGGTCGTCAATGCTTTTTGGTAAGTAATAGGAATCAAAATTAACCGTTGTACTGGAAATAATTAATAATTCTATGCCCTCCTAACCATATTTTCGTTTACCGAGTGCTTTTACTATTGTTAGAATCGTTGATATTGTTTAGTTAAATTAAATAATAATTCACATTAAATAATTAAAAATATTTTAATTTTAAATCAATTTTGTTTTGTTGACAAAAATTCAATCTTATAATCACAAATCAGCTGTTTCTCAAACATGCTGATTTTTATTGGATCAAATTTTTCCAGCATGTATTGGCAATTTCCTCCCCGACTGAACGCCAATATTGCGCTCTCTCATTACCAATTTTTTACTGGGTTTTTGGCTCAACGAACGCGATCCAGTAAAGTTTGGTAAACATTGTTACCAACTAGTTAACGAACAAAATTAATAAGTTGGTAAAATGTCCCTTCTAAATTGGTTAAAGTGTGAAATAAAAGCTCTGTTTCGATATCCCAAGAGCTAAAGATTCCATAAAAAACCGCTTGGAACCATTTGAAAAGGCTGTATACGAAAAAAGAAAACGAAACCAATGAATTTTATACAAAAAAAAAAGAACGGTTTGATACAGTTCACTTTCTATACCTCGGCAGGGAATGTCATAAAAAAACTATCATTCGTTTGAAGGCGACTGGGTATAAGCTAGGTTCCTCCATTTGTTTTAAAACATCTAGACGCATATCACAGATTGGAGAAGGAGCTCGGCCGAAAATCGCTTCAGCGGTTACAAAGCGTCAATAACAAATATAATATAATTTGGTCCGAAAGGTGGTTCCAATCGTCGGGCATGCTTTCATCCGACCATATTTCGCAAAGAAGCTGATGCATGCACCTGATCAGTTCTTCCCTGCCGTATTTCAATAGCTCGGCTGGTAATCCATCGATCCCTGTCGCTTTGTTGATTTTTAAGCGGCGATCGCTATTCGGGCTTCTTTATTGGCGGGTAATGGCACCACTTTTCCATTATCATCAATTGGAGTTTCGGTTCACCATGTATCATTTTCCTTGCCATTCAGCAGGCTGGATAAGTGTTCCCTCCATAGATTCAGTTTGCTCCGGTCTTGAAACTTTCGGTAAGTCACTGTAACTTTTCGTAGAATTTTCGAGCATTACCCTTGTCAGCCAGCTACTCAAGTTCCTCGTACTCACGCATCTCGGTTGCTTTCTTTTTTTGTCTGCAGATGCGTCTTGCTTCTCTCTTCAGCTCTCGGTCTCTACGTGTCGTGGTCGATCGCAATGTTGCGAGGTAGGCATACTCTGACCATACGAGTTTTTGCTGTTCTCTAAATCTATTGTAAGTCGACGTATATTTGCGTAGCTTTTTCGGGCATAACTCTTGCCGGCCAGGTTCTCAAGCTCTTTATACTCACGTGTTTCAGCCGTTTTAATTTTTCTGCAAATGTTTCTTCCTTCCTCTTTATCTCTCGGTATCTATCACATCCAGCACGTGTTGTGGTCGATCGCAAGATTGAGAGGTAGGCAGTCTGTTTTTGCTCCACTGCAGTTCGACATTCCTCACCGCACCAGCTCTTTTTCTGGCACTGCAACCAATTGTTTCCATAGCAGCGGTAAGTAGAAAGTTTGGGAAGCCGTTTCGGCACCCAAAATGCAGGGAAGCAGATCCATCAAAATTTAGTCCGATTTGATCAGAATTACTTTCGAGTTGTGTTAGCCATTTCTGTATGTCCACTTATTTTACACAAACTAAACTTGGTACGCAGATGCACTATTATTACTTTGAAATGATCTGGCAAGATCAGATCACTACAACATATTTACATACGACCGATTTTTCAGATTTGAGATTTCAGGTCATAAATACATTAAAAACGCTTCTAGCAACATGAAATTTGTTTTTTTTTCACAAATACAAGGAATCGGTTATTATTTTTGAAAACCATCGAGATCGGAAGACCATATCATACAACTCCCGAAACCGATTCGTTCAGAAATTAGGTTTTAGGTGATATATTTGTCACAAAATCATCTGAAAGCGGGATATTTGGTATTCTACACCCTTAAATTCAAATAAATATTTGTATTAAAAATCAATGAAAGCGAATTTTGCATTTTGTAATAAATTTAATGAAGTGAAACTCAAGCCCTCCAAGTGAATCTCTGATCTGAAAAACAAGGCTTCTCATAAACAACCATCAACCAATCAAACAAGGCATCAAAGAGGCCGCAAACCACTTCTGCGACTGCAAAGTGCCTATATATATAGATTATATATGCATATATATGCACATATGTACGTTTTAAAAACACGGCAGTGATTTATATAATTATTAAAATAATTACAATATTTCATTTATTTTTGAATATAAAAAAATCTTGGTATTTTTCAAATAAAATTTTGTCGACAAAATCTGTATCTGAAATACCTGATTATTGATTATTTTATAAAAAAGTTTAAAACGATAACTTTGTTAAACCGAAAACACAAATCCTCAATATCTTAATCAATGTTCAGCATTTTTTATATATGTATATATTTTTTATTATGACAAAATAGGTATACATTATATTAAGGCATGTTTTAACTTATCTACAATACATTAACAGTAATACATATATTTTGTAGTTTTATTACTTACTCGAAATTCAAATAAAATTCATTTGCATTGACAGCAAATAGCATCGAGGTGACGGCATAGAGAGTGAGAAAACCGGAAATGCATAGTAAAGTACAACACATAACCGATATTTCGCGGGAATATAAACAAAAAATGTTTAAAAACAACAAATTACGTTTGAATAAATATTCGAATGCTTGCAATCATTTATATGTATACGAAAATGTGCATAAAAATGCTAAATAAATAAATTTGTTGAGTAGAGGCCTAATTTGCAAAAGCTTACATACATATGTATGTATGTATGAGTGTGTGTGTAGCAAGTATGTGTATATATTATATATTTATAAAAATATTGTATCAGCTGTTTGATTTAAAATACAGAGAGACTATGTCGTCACTGAGAGCAATAGCAAAAATGTACACAAACATTACGCTCTCTTTCAAGCGGTTGACCAGGCCTCACAAGCAAATAATTATATCATATGAATAAGTTATCGTGGAGAAACTCATCGCAAATTTACTTAAAACACAAGCAAAAAAAAAACCGGCCAATTGCGATACTCTATGAGGTCACACCATCTAACTAACATACATTTATTGTACATATTTTATATAAATGTATATTCAAGCACATTTTGTATTGATATAAATGTTGGTAAGCAAGCGAATTGTTATTGAGATTGTTGTTGGCAAATAATATAAAGTAATTTCAGAACAAACATGTTATTAGACGACGCACTCCCCAGCCCATATTACATTGATATGTGCCGAATAAATATTTTCAACGTTTAGTTTGTATGACTTCGCGATATCTATATTACAACCTATTAATTTTCACTCATTTAGATATGGACGAGTTTAGAACACGAATATTCGGCAATATTGAAGAAATATTTAATTTACAACCGAACGGCACCGCATAAAAATATGAACTAATCACATGTGAAGTCATTCGCTATGGTGAAGATTTCGTTTGTGTACGTTCAAACCTACGCGGGAAGGTGAGGTCGTGGGTTAGCAGTATTTTCATAAAAAGCTTTTTCATAAGCTTTTCAAATAGCTTTTACGAATTTTCACCACGAGTAAACTTATCAAATGAAAACAGTGTTGTTGATGTTACAATTCGTAAGCCACAATAATTATCATTATTTATTTTATTTTCTAGCAAAAGCTACACATTGAGAAGCAAAAAACACTTTTTATTTAGATTATTAGTTTTTTTTTTTTAAATTACGGAGAAGTCCAACCGGTTAGGGAGCATCCTAAATCAATCAATCTGGGTCCCCTTACACCTTTAATGTGCCTCAATGTGACTATGTCTGCGACCCCTTCACCCTCAGCCCATGGAGCGAGTTTTGTTTCCCAACAATTTTTGTTTTCTACATCTTGTACATTAAGTAAAAAAAAATTGATTTTAAGGGAGCAACTCTCACTTTTATTAATTATTCATACTAAAGCTATTTCATTTGACTAAATAATATTTGGTTCCAATTACTAATTCATTTATTAATCTGTTATAATGAATATTTTTCAACCTCACACACAAATTAATTTATTATTAGTTCACAATTTTTATGCAGCCAACAATAACAAAAGTTATTCAGGGGTCTTATAGAAACCGACACAGAATTGCTTATTTATCAAAATTGCCAAACAAAATCTGTTTGAAATGGTGTACCGACTAGATATTGCTTTTTCGAAGATTTGGGCAAAAAGCCCAGCAAATTCAATTTAATTTTTGTACTTGTTTTAATAAATTTGTGATTATTAACTAAAAAATAAAGGCACTTCGGCAGTGATAGCATTTTTGGCAAAATTGTAAGGAATAAGGGCACTCCGCTGGAGCTGCCAGAGTCTACTTTCACATTTGCTGATACAAAATTGGTTTGTATGTAGATTCATAGAGCAATATTGTCTTGACAAAGAAGCCTTTGCTCAACTGCTGGATGTCATTGAAGACCAGGCTGACTATCCCACATGCGCTCCACCATGCAGCCACACTACGGTTTTTGACAGAAGGCTCCTATTAACGATTTGTGGGACTCAAATATGTCCTTAGCGCGATCTACAGAATCTGTGGTCATAACATAAATGCTAAAGGCTTTTGAACATTTCACTTGCTCACGCTCGATAATTTTAGGAATGAACGACAATGAAAAACGAAGAGCTTGTGAACATTTTTACATCAAATACCGTATTCCAGGCATTGCTGGTTGTTAAATTTTTTGTTCACGACTTACATTTTTATTAAATTTGCGATTGCAAAGAAGTTTGCACAAAAATCGACACAATTTTTTTTTTGAAAATGAAACCGATATGGAAATCAATAATCGGAATGTGCAACCCCTTCAGCAGAATTTTGTCGGTTCCAATCTGTTTATTTAACACTCCTGACTATATTTAACAAAATCTTTCTCTGAATAAAAATACGCAACTAATCTTATCATTCGCTCCTCTTCGTTGAACTACGAGGCTTAAGGACACTCTCTCAAGAGTTTGTATAATAAATATTAGTAAGTAAAAAAGATATTGTTGCCTACATTTCGGCGGGAGAATAAAAGTGTTTAACGAAAACCCTGAAGAGTAAATTTATAGGAGATATCGCTTTAATTGAAATAAGCTATAGGGAGATAAAAAATATTTCATGATATTTAAAATTTATCAAAGATTGGAGCACATTTGCCTGGGCCACACTGCTTCTAGTTCAATAAATAACAAATAATATACATCAATATAGAGTTATTCTAACAAAAATTAGTTTGGTGGAAAAGGTTCAAGTTTTCTTTCTCTCATTAAGCTTATGTTGGCGGAACCCCTTCAGAATGCAATGTAAAATTGCTTTAATGGGAAAATGCCCTTATGTATGCATGTATAACTAGTTTTATTATTTAATATCATAATGCTCTTTTTAATGAGCTTTCGGTTTGACAGAATTTGAAACGCCTCACACTCTTCAGCAAGAGTATATCCAAAAAATATTTACCGATCTTATTTTCTTTCTTGACTTACCTTTAATTATTTAATTATTTATGATTTATAAAATAATTAAAGTGTTCATTCCATTATAAAGGTTGTCAAATATCTCCCTTCCGATTTTTTGCTCTTCATTCAATGCTTTATAAAAAGCAGCAGTGATCGGATTTAGTTAAAATATGCGTCGTTTTGTTCGATGATCTGTTTCCATCTAGACGGCAACTTCATAATACCTTCCTCGTAGAAGCCCCCTCCTTGTTTGCGAAGAATTCGGACAGTCACTTTTCACAAGCCTCTTTTGAGTTCAACTTCACACCACCAAGGGCACTCGCCATGGACAGGAACAGGTGGTAATCACTTGGCCCTACGTCCGGGCTATATGGTGGATGTGATAAAACCTCCCACCTCAGAGCTCCCTTAGCTTCTGACGAGTCATCAACGAAGTGTGTGGTCTGGCGTTGTCCTGGTGGAACACTACACCATTCCTGTTGGCCAATTCTGGACGCTTCTGGTCGATCGCCTGCTTCAAGCGGTCCAGTTGTTCGCAGTAGACGGTAGAATTAAGCGTCTGGCCATATGGTAGCAGCTCATAGTAGATGATTCCCTTCCAATCACACCAAACACACAGCAAAACCTTCCTGGCCATCAATAACCGGCTTAGCCACTGCTTGATATTGTCGTATGTGATCCATTTTTCGTCGCCAGTCACCATCCGCTTCAAGAATGGGTCGAGTTCGTTCCGTTTCAGCAGCATATCGCAGGCGTTGATTCGGTCCAGAAGGTTTTTTTGCGTCAAATTATGCGGCACCCAAACATCAAACTTTTTTTTGTATCCAGCCTTCTGCAGATGGTTCAAAATGGTTTGGTGACTAACTCCCATCTCCTGGGCGATGTCACGAGATGCCATATGCCGGTCTAACTCGATGTATTCCATGATTTGATCGGTATTTGTCGTCACAGGTCTTCCGCCGGCTGGCTTATCCATGGTGTCGTTTTCACCGGCTCTGAATCGTCGAAACCATTCCTCCGCGGTTCGAAGTGATAGAGTACCATCCCCCAAAACACCATTAATCTCACGGAACGTTTCTCTAGCGGATTTGCCTTTAACGAAGGAAAACTTTAAAATAGCGCGAATTTCGGTGTTAGTGAACTCCATGTTTACACGTCTATAACTGTTGAACGCAATATCCAAACTAATCATGCATAGCGTTGTTTTGTAGGTTATGTCAAGACCTTTCAAATTATGTATAGTGTTGCCAGACACGAGCACGATAGCCGCGAAATGCAAAAGACAAAAAAGCGGAAGGGAGATATTTGACAACCTTATATATGTTTTTAATGGGCGAGAAGCAACTACACTCCAAAACATGTTCGATCCGGAGAGTTTTCAATATTTTTAAAATTAAATTTTCTATTCATAAAATAAAATGGCAAATGTGTTATTCTAAAATTTTGAATTAAATTGGTTTAGTGATGATAGTCCCTTGACTGGAGAGTCAGTACCTACAAACATCCATTTGTATACTATAAACTCTATAAACTAAAAGACCACACGTTGTTGTGCCTTTTTCAATTTTTTCCAATTTATATTATTAGACATTTTAAAGGTAGTGATAAGTAAAAATTTGTATTTATAATTTGATATAAGTGCTTATATGTGTGCCTGAAATGTTTGGGGTCACAGCAGCTCAGTTGCCTCGAAGAAAGCCAAACGCTGCTATCTGATATGAATCCTGCTGTAATGATCAATAACGTTAAACGTAAAAGAATAACTTGCAACAACTAGGGATGCAAGAGATAGCGAAACCCAAAACAACCATCAGTCTATAAAAAACCTCCTAAATTCTAACTAAATCGAACCATAAAAATATTTGTCTAAATAAGATTGGTAACTGGTGCACTACGTAAAGTTTCAAGTAAATCGGATTATAGCAAGATTTTTTTTGAACAGATCGATAGCCACTTTCCGGAAGAAAAAATAGGCAATTTTTGTATGGGTGATTTTTGTAAAAAAAGGAACTTTTGTACAAAAATTCAAGTAAATCCAATTTTTTGGTATAGATTGCTCCCACATCCACTTGCCTTTATCTTGATTTCGGCAAAGGTACCCGGTATCTGTATACCAATATATAAGACGGATTCTCCGGGTTTCAATGAAGCTATCCGAAGTTTTCGTTTGCCAGAACGAGATGCAAATTGTTCAAAAATATTTCAAACAAACCGTATACAATAAAGTGTATCAGGGTTATCCGTTTTAAAGAGAAATTACAAACATATATATATAAATATATATGCATATAAGCTTCATTCACTAGCTGCGGTATTAGACTGTTATTAATCTCAACAGCTGAAACAAAAAACACACACTTTCTTCCTGGTAGTAAACTCACAAGAGGAAAGTGCTTTGCATTGTCACTACATAATACCAAAAAAATCTGGCTTTTGTAAAGACTGTTCAGATATCTCTTTCTCGCTTATAACTTAATATGGCATTGATATCAAAATATCTTTACAATGCAGACTTTTTTAATATCTTTGCTTTTGTTGCCTTTTTTATAACAGAAATCACCTAGATATATCTGTTATTTAAACAAGAGTTTTCTTACGTTTAAATACACAGGTGCTTTGGACTTTAAGGAGCT